TCCTATATATGTATTGAGTTCCTGGTTTATCCAAGCTTGTGAGAGCCAAGCTTGCACAAGGCAGCATATAGTTTTGTAAATAGCACATTTAAATAGTCAGGGGACTTGGATTCCAGTCTCGGCTCCAACACTGGAGGCCTACAGTAGATAGGGTCTGCCTTGCTGACTTTCCTGGGCTGCTCTAAGCTGCAGCATTAGCCATTGTCAATGCTTATTTTAAATAGCATTTCTAGTCCTCAGTACTCACTTTCAGCTCTTCAACAAAGCTATACCAACGCCGTCAAAGCTATGAAAGCCACTGATTTGTGCAACATTATTTGGTAGATTTTAGTTCTAGGTTATACCCCCTTCCTCCTAGTAGGGCTGAAGTGCAGTCAGTACCCCTGCTCTGCAAATGTAGTTAGAAAAAGCCAGTGCTCTAGGCCATCTGCAAACTGAATGATGGCAAACAGACCGTCATCAGTACATTGTGTTAGCAGTGAGAAAACACTGGGGAAACCTGTGTCTTTCATAACCAAAGGCTCGCTGGTTCTAAATGTACTTGACAGTGTGTCTCATTCAGAAACCTTTCCCTCTTCCTTCTGCTCTTTCTTTCTATGCTTTGGTATTGTGTGAGTGATTTGGCCAGTTCACCTAATTTCTTGATAGTTCATTAGAATTTGAAGAATATTGCCTGTTTTTACTGGTTATTGGTTTTCTGTGACCCTGGGAAACCATAATGCACAAAGTGGTAGAGATATGAGACTTTCTTGTCAGAGCTTTGTAGTATCCACTGAAAGTTTTTATGTCTCCCTTAAATTATCTCTGCTTTCAAAAATAGACATTCCAAAGCTACTGATAGGCAAGGTTGCAATTGCAGTTATAATAGAGTAAGCACACTCCATCTTTCTCTCGCACTGAATGTAGCCAAAAAACACTGGGCAGAATATATGGATCAGCTATTTGAGGAATCAAAAACAAATGATAGCGGGCAGATGGAGGAAGGAAACCAAAATGCAAGGTATGAAAGACCCAGTCCAGAGTTTCCTGTTTTGTTTTGTTCTTTTCTTTTTTCCATTCACATTTCCTGCCTGGATTCAAAGTCAGTGCGCATCCCAGAATTGCACTCTGGGTACAGACAGAGCTCCAAGGGAATCCCTCTCTTTCTGGCCAAAGGAGAGGAAGGGAAGCCGCACCAGGACAGACTGGAAGAAATCCTACCAATTTCTATGCTAACCCTGTTAACATTTAATATGTTACATTCTAGACTTTTTCTGCGCATAGTGTTTGTAAAACAGTTATAGTTATAACAAACATTGTGTTTCCTGTTTTTTCTCTTAATAGAGGAATATGCTTATAATCTAAACTTACTATACAGTCACTGTAAACTTATTTTTAAATAATTTGGTAAGCAGCCGTAGCCTGGTTCAGGGATTCTCAAATCTTAGTGTGCATTTAAATTACCTTAGATTCTGGTTCACTGATCTACCTTGGGACCTGAGAATGCATTTACAGCAGGCACCCCATCTTGCCAATACTGTCCCTGGAAAGACCAGGTTTCGAACAGTTATTTCACAGTTCCCATTTAGGTTGTTTCCAGTTTGTTGCTTTTTTTCTTTAGAAACAGGGTCTTTCTTTGTTGCCCAGGCTGGGGTGCAGTGGTATGATTATAGCTCACTATAGCCTTGAACTCCTAGGCTCAAAGGATCCTCCCGCCTTAGCCTCCCAAGTAGCTGGGACTACAGGCACATGCCACCACACCCAGCTTACTTTTTAATTTTTTGTAGAGACGGTCTTGCTATGTTGCCCAGACTGGTCCCAAACTCCTGGCTTCAAGCGACTCTCCCACAGTGCTGAGATTACAGAAATGAGCCATCACTCCCAGCCTGTTGCTTTTGTAATTAGTGTGATGGTGGGATATTTTTGCACATAGAACTTTTCTTCATATTTGATATTATTTCTTTGGGGTAGACTCCTAGAAGCAATGTAACTGGGTCAGAAGTTATGACTATTTAAATTGCTGGTAAACTATTGATGATTATTTTCTCAGATTTTGCCAATGATAATAAATATATTCTTTATATCTGAGCCTCATTCGAGGCTTAGAATGGTTCAGCTGTGTGAGATCACACAGCAAATCGTTCGAAGAGCTGTGATTTTACCCCCAGGTATCTGTTTCGCAGCCTGCTCTTCCCCTGCACTACTTCGGAGACAGCCACTGCTTCCCCCATCCCCTCCATTTAAACAAGCCTTGCTCTGCTTGTGCTTGCCTCACCGTTAGCTCACTCTTTTTCCTTTTAAGCTTTGCTAATTCAACATGTGAAAATGAGCTCCTGTTATGTTCATTTTTATTTATATTTGTTTGATAGAGTTTATGCCTCTATCTGGTCACATCCCTGGTCCTTTGATAAGTTTTGTTTCCTAAGTTGGTCTTACTTTACTTGACTTCTCTGTGATGTGTAAACAATACAGATATTAACTTGTTTCTGCTGCAACTGTTTTGTAATTTGTCTTGTATTTTGTTTCCTGTTTTTAAACATAATTTAACATTTTCTTTCTCTTTTTCTATTTCCCACTAAACTTAAAGAGGTTTTCCTTTTGCAGAAGTTTGATAAACATAGGAAGATATTTTTAAAAGGAAGCTTAGGGGCTTTAAGGGCACCTGTGAGAAATACAGCATTAAATTTTTGCTTTTTTCCTCAGTGCCAGGTTTACTTGATAATTTCTCCCTTCTGCCCAAACACATGGTTTCTCCACAAAGATTTTCATGCTCAAATGAGAGGACAAATTATGGGTGATGCTGTCTCAAGGATATGATTTATCATTTTTCAAACAGAGTTAGAAGGGCATTATGAAATAATGTAAAATGAAGAAATACCCAAGCTTTTTTACCATAATTTTCTTCTACATTTTATCCATTGTTATAACAGAAGTAAACCAAACTTTTAGTTTAAAACTTTAAAAAAAATGTATCATGTTTATACAGGCATGCAATTTAAAAAATAAAATGGTTCTACACAACTTGATGTGAAAACACAATAATCTCCTGGTCCTGACCCCAACAGTGCCTTTTCCTATTCTGCTTCAACTCTTCTAGCTGAACTTTGTGTTATTTAACTCTATGTCGTTCACTCTTTTTTTTAGATTTTTAAAATGTGTTTACTTTTGTGTCTCCACATGACATGAGATATTGCTACTGTGTAATTTTTGAATATAGGCATTCTCTGTTACTGACTTCCGCTGTAGAAGGCAAAGCTTTAGTGTCCTTCTGTGACTCCTCCTTCATGCTCCCTACTCTCTGACCCCATCTCCACTACACATGTTCAGGCTTCCTATCCTGTCTTTGCTGTGCAGTTCTTTGTCCTTTGTTTAGCTCAATATGCAGTGCTTACATTATTACAGTTCTGTAAATGCTATTCATGGCCAAGACATGTAGTTTCCTAGAATTACTTTCCTTCTCTGCACAACATTTTGTTTCCTGTAGAGTTAGTAATTGCCTTGGTTATTAGCTTTAGTAGTTTTCTTTGCACTTACCCCCAAGTTATGAAACTCCTCTCGATATAGCCAGAGACATTGGGTATTCTGTTGGGTTCATCTCCGTGATGACATCTCTCCAGAGCATTCTGACTGCTTGCTTTCCAGCCCAAATTTGTGAGCTACTGTGCAGTCCTTCATCTTCCTTTATTGGCATCCTAGTGAGTCCTGTTTCTTCTTTTCTCCATGTTTACTTCCTTACTATCAAGACTGTACCCTCTGTGATTCCTGGAAAAGAGTATATAAGTGGTAAATATTTTTAAATCATGTGTATATGAAAAAGGCTTTAATTTATCCTTAGTTTATCCTTTAGTTTATGCTTAGTGGTAATATGGCTGGGTACAGAATTCTAAGTGGGAAATTGTTTCCCCGCAGAATCTAAAGGCATTTTCTCAAAGCTTTCTGTTTTTCAGTATGGCTTTTGAAAAGTCTTATTCTAATGATCCTTCATATAAAGCTTGTTTTTAATCTCTGGAGGCTTTGGAGTCTCTTCTTAGTCCCCAGATTCTGAAATCCTATGATACTGAGTCTTGATATGTAGGTCTGTTTTCTTCCATTATGTTGGGCATTCAGTGATCATTTGGATTTGGAAATTTATATCCTGTGTGGTGTGCTCAATCTACCTTTTTTTAAAAAAATTTCCCACACTTCACTGACATATCATCTTTCCATCCTTAATCAGAAGTCTTGATAATTTTTTTAAAGGAAATTATAATAAAACATGTTTCCCAAAGCTGGATTCTTATCAGTTAAATATTGAAAAGGGATCATGGTAACTAAATTGGGCAACCAGAATTTAAGAGTACTGACAAGCAGAAAATATAGACAGTCACACATTTTACTTGACAGAGCAAAGCATTGAAGGAGTTGTTGAAGCTATTTATTACTCTGGTGCTGAGCACAGACTTGTATCATAGACAGGTAAATTAATTTATAATCTGGAAAATTATCCAATGCTCCCCAAGTAATTTGAGAAGATTAAAGGCACATCCCTTGTTTCAACATGATCCCTGAACATCCACATACCAAAAATATTCATATATTTGACTACCCCAACCTTTAGCCAAGTTAGCAGGACAGTTGTCTTCTAGGCCAACCATGGTAATAATACATCTTTAAATTTTTCCTAGACTATAGATTTAAATTTTCTTTTCCCTAAATGATAGTTATACTAAAGCAATTATTCAGTCAGTCAGATAGAAGTAGTGTTTCCCTATCATTGTTATTTTTGAAAAACTGGGTAAACATCTACTGACATGTGCTTTAAAAAGTGCTAACTTTGAAAAGTCCTGAAGCCACATGATTCATCTGTAGGACCATTTTTTCCCTCCAAGGGCTGCTCTTGGAATGGTAAACGCTGAGTGGGCAAACTTCATGGTGGGGATTGTATGTGTCTTAATATAAGCTTAATTCTGGATATGAATAGTAATCTTAGCATATTTTCATGTGGGCTTGTAATGAATCTTCTTTTTCTTCTTTTCTGCCAGCTTTTTGGAGACTGGGAAGCCCAACTGCGGAGAATAATGAAGCTCATTGCTGGAGGTGGCTTGTCTATCACTGGCTCTCACAACATGTGTGGGGACTATCTGTACAGCGGCCACACGGTCATGCTAACACTCACCTACTTATTTATCAAAGAGTGTAAGTCTAAAAGACTTCCATTGTAATTTGCTCACCTGCCATTTCTCATGAACTCTGGTCCTCTGGTAAAGCTCGTTTTCTGGAAAATCTGCTGAAACAAGACTGGAGGCTTCAGGAGGGTCACAGCTTCATCTCATCACCATGCAGCTGGCACCCAGGGAAATATGTGGAAGGACAGAACTGGTCTTCCTGAGGAGGAGGTGTCCTGGAGTGTCATCTGTAGTACTGGGGTGGAGGGAGTTCCAAGCACAGCCTGCAGGGTGTGTTATGAGCCAGTTATACAGCTGCTGTAAGGAGCCAGAAGGAAATCTCAAAGGGACACAGAAATCTAGGATCAGGCCTGATTGGGTGATGGTAGATTATGTGTTGATGCAGCAACTATTTTTTCAGCACTTAGCACTATGCTACATGACTGAGGGTAGTGATGGGTCAGACTCATCCCTGTCCTCAACAAGGCTATGGGCTCAGGGCTGAGGCAGATACTAAATGGGACATTTCCCTTAAGAAATGTACTTAAAATATTTTATTGTGAAATCACAAAATAATATTATAGATACCACATACATGGCTCAGATTTAATATATATTAGCATTTTGTCATATTTAATTCAGGTAACCCTTTTAGAAAGGAAATGAAATGTTAATATATGATTAAAGCCTTTTCATTCCTTTCCTATATCATTTTCATCCATTTTTTTGTACTTGTATATTATTGTTTTGTGGTTTTTAAAATGTATATACATAAATGGCATGATGCCATTTATATTCTTCTGCCACTATTTACCCTCAGATTATGTTTTTGAGATATGAGATTTTGGTTCATTCACTTTAATTGCTATTAATATGATAGTGCTAGAAATGAACTACACATTTTTATTCATTTCTCTACTTACATAAAATTTTATTATCCTCAATATCACATTGTTAGAAGCAGTCTGATAAGCATTATGCAGAGGGTTTCCACGAAGAGCAATGGGTAGAAGCAGGCTGCTGTGGTATCACAGAGGAAGGAGATGCTTTGCCTTCTGGAGGTGTCTTGGGAGCGTGTGGTACTCTGTGGGAGTTTAAGTGGTTGGAATTCAGAGGAGGGGTAATAATGAGAACAGACAGGTAAGTGGGAACCAGATCACAGAGGGTGCTTAAGCCATGAGAAGAGGGTCTGAACTCTCAGCTGATGGAGATCGGGTGCCCATTGAGGGGTTGTAACCAGTGGGGCAGTGTCATTTGTCTTTGAAGAGAGAAAAATCACTCTTGCAGCAGCTTGCAGGATGGACTGGATGGAGGGCAAAACTGGAGACTGGAAGAAAAGTTAGGAGATTGCTGCAGTAACAAAGGAAACTAGCCTGAAGGCATCAGGGATGGAGAGAAGTGGCAGACACTTCAAGACATTAATAAAGAGAGTCAGCAGATAACAGGATGGATTATGGGGTAGAGAAAACAGGTAGCAGACTGGGCCGAAACCTAGTTTTGTTCTTGAAAAATGAAGATAAGGAAATGTAGGAAGAGGAGAGAGATGCACTTCAGGGCACTGAGGTAGAAAAGGGAGAATAGATGTTCCAATGCTTATACTTAGTATGTGAGCAGATATAGTGAATTCTAGCAAGATCTATTCAGAATTGTCAGGGCATAATCCAGCCCTTGGACTGGGATGTAACTGGATGTGAACAGTGGGAATCACATAGGCCAGATGTCAGCAGCCCTGGGGGAGGGATTCCTGGCTCCTGCTGCCTGATACCTGAAATTCTTTAATGGGGTCAAGCCTTATCCATCTTGACAATAAGGCAGCGTGTCATATTGAGAGGCAGAGGCCTTGGTACTATCACTTACTAGCTCTATGACCCTGGGAAGAAACTTTAACCTCTCTAAGTCTTAGTTTCCTCATGTTTAGAATGCAATATTCACATCTGCTTCATGGGGTGGGAAAAAGTTTATGAAAATTAAAATTAGATGGCATATATGGATACTTATAGAGTCACACAGAGATTGAATGGTAGCTGTTTCTTGTTTTTGTATTGTCAAGGTATCGAATACTAATATAACTAGAATATTCCTACCCTGACTGCTCCATTTAATATTGCAAACTGCCCTTCACTCCCTATACTTCTGATCCCCCCTTATCCAGCTCAACTTTATTATTTTTCCACAGCCTTTAACACCTAACATAAATTATTATGTAAATTATTTATTATAAGTATTGTCTCTTATCTCTCTTCCCCACTAGGAAGGGATCTTCCCACAAAGGCAGGCTTCTTGCCTTTTTTATTCATTGATCCAGGTACCTAGAGCATTGCCTGTCCCTGGCATGTAAGAGGCTCAGTGAATATTGGTTGAATGAATGAATGGTTCTTGGACCCCTTGAGAATCCAATAAAAGCCTGAACTGCTCATGCTGGTGTGGAGAGTGTAGATCATATTCAAACAACATTTTGCCCAACATTGCAGAGCCTCTGAATCCCACAATTGAGAATCCAAGGTAGAAAGGCCTGCACTAATAGAAATTTTGATGTTTTTCTCAGGTAATTTCCCAAATGGAGGTACAGACAAGTATTTATCTGACACAATTCAGCCTTTGAGAAGGCACTTGAACTAGAATTCCCAGGCATCTGGATTCTTTTCTGTTTGTATTTGAGAAATGAGAATCTCAAAGACTTTCAGATTAGTGTATGGTTGCAAAACTTGGAAAGCAGTACAGTTAAATCAATTATGACTGCTTAGTCCTTGTATTAGGCTCTATGGACCAAAAGGTATTGATTTTTATATAGAACATCAACCCCAAATTAACTAGAGGTAAATTTAAATGTCAATGGACAGTTTTTTAAAATGAAGCATGGTGCATTAACCTGTCCTTATCTGATTAGACTAATCTTTTAAACACTATTTATGATTGTATGACTCAAGAACCAAATATGAATTACTATCACTAGTATAATCACATCATAAAAAGCTATTTCTGTTCTAACCTTGGTTACAGATAAATGAAAGCCCTTAGATTCACTAGATCTGTTTTCAGAAGGGAAGACTCAAGGTAATTGGATTCAGAAGCATTAGTAGAGGCATAGTTGAGTGCCCTTAATGTCATTTGAATAACGGGACTGTTGCAAATCTCTCCCCCTTTCAGATTCCCCTCGACGACTCTGGTGGTATCACTGGATTTGCTGGCTTCTCAGCGTAGTTGGAATCTTCTGTATTCTCTTAGCGCATGACCACTACACTGTGGACGTGGTGGTGGCATATTACATCACCACGAGACTCTTCTGGTGGTATCACACTATGGCCAATCAGCAAGTGAGTTTCTCCCCTTTTGATTTTAGCTTCTATTGCTTCTGGCTTGGTGTTGCTGGCTTGGGCAGGGTGCAAAGAACCCATGGATGTCTTAAGTTTCTCTTTCTTAAGAGGTAATCAACTAAGATTGTATTGTGTTTTGTGACACTGATTCTCTTCAGAATTAAGAATAAAATGTTTATTAATATAATGGTGTAAGGAATTCCTTCTAGAATAAGTAGCACACTTTCATTGTCCATGAAAAATGAAAAATATTTTCTAAGATTGTGTCCCTCCTTGCTGGATTCACTTTCCTACCCTCTTCTCCCTATCCTGGGCACATCACAAGCTTAATACTTAACATTTAATTAAGTGTTAATATTTTTAGCATAGAAGAGGAATACCTAAAAAGCTAACTGAGGTATTTATTTATAGGCAAGAGATGAGTGAGCCATAAGTTCTCCTTGCCCTCCCAGAATTGGCGTTGTTTTTCTACTGAGATGTGGCTCAGTTTGTAGATGAGTGTGGAGTGTAGAATGGTGATGACAGAGAGAAGCTGGGATATGTGGGTGGACATGCAGGGTAGGTATGGGATCCTTTGGGAATTTTAGCATGGCAAGTATTTGAACTTCAAGTGAAAGATTGTAAGAAATGTGTTTATGTTTCTTTGTTATCCTAGGTGCTAAAGGAAGCTTCCCAGATGAACCTCCTGGCCAGGGTGTGGTGGTACAGGCCATTTCAGTACTTTGAAAAGAATGTCCAAGGAATTGTACCTCGATCTTACCATTGGCCTTTCCCCTGGCCAGTAGTCCACCTCAGTAGGCAAGTTAAATACAGCCGGCTGGTGAATGACACATAACAGCTGTACAAAGTGGGAAAAAGACAAATTGTCCGAAGTGCTAAGAACTCCATGAGAGAAGATGCCATAAAATAAACACCTCCCTATTCCTATTATCTTTCAATGGTTACCTTGACTTAACCTATTGAGTTACCTGGTCAGCACTGTGATCTTTTTTTCTCTCCAAAGGACCTGCGTTGGACAACAATAAAGAAAAATTTAACCTATCATGCACTGTACACATTTCCTGTTCATAAGTTTGGGATTTACATAACCCGCAACCACCATGTTCCTTTGTATATGATGCAACAGCATAAATGTAAGCTTTTATATCATAAGTTCTGGTTTTTCCAGTCACATCTGGAAATAAAGCGTATTATTTTCTTGGGAAAACATACTTTTCATATCTCTTGCCCCAAAGATTGGGCTGTAAGCCATTTTCTAGCAAATGTCTCTATGAAGGTTTCTAAGCACCTGAATGGGGTTTGATTCTGAAATCTTTCTACCTGTTGCACCGATATTCAAATAAAAATGATAGACACAGAAAGGTTTGGTAACTTTGGGTTTTGTAAAATCAGCAAAGACAGTGTTTCAAAAAGTGCAAAAAAAAAAAAGATTCTGTTATAAAGTGATTTTCTAAGTATTTCCTAACTTTATTTTTCAAAATGATGTTATGAAAACCAAATTTAAAGATTTTTAACATGTCAGAGAGAAGAGAGTTAAAATTTAAAAATGCATCTTGGGAGAGAAATTTGTCTATGTTTCTAGTGCCTTTCTTGTCTTGATTGTATGGTCAGTAGGCAATCTTAAATGTTTTTATTTAAAATAAAGTATTCCATGAAAATATAAATATATGTATACACTACTAAATTTTGCATTTATAGCTAAATTGAATCAGAAGACTGCTTATGGTTTTAAAATTGCAATGACTTAAATAATGAGGTTGTTAATTAGAGTCAGAGCCTGTTCACATATTGTGATCAGGTAGCAATGACATGTACCACTTAAATTATTTTATCGTCTATTTGGTAGTTCGATTTTAACTACTCAATGAAAACAGCCATGAATATCTTTTCTTAAAGAGAGTTTTGAAAATGATCACTTACCTAAAACTTGAAAGCTATGAATTAGTTATCCATACTCTCATGACAATTTTGTTGGTGAACAACAAAAAAGAGATCTATTTCTTTAAAAGATATTTGTGCAGAAACTGCATGTAACTCTTAAGTTGTACTCCTAACATACGTATGTTTGGGGAAGTATTCTATTCTATACTTGCCAATGTGGAGAACAAAATAGTTTTTTAAGAATGAAGAAGTATATATATCCATTCTGTATTTTACGTGCAGCAGAATTATCTTCCGTAGGATTTTTTTGTGTATTCACAAGGTGATATTTGTATTGTAAAACAATAATGGTGAAGGAAATAAAAAGGCTTTTAAAATTTTGTTTGTTTTAAATCTTTGTAAAGTTATTATTCCAGAGAGTATACTGGTATCTTACAGCTTACCTAGATCATAAATTAATCAAGATGCACTTTTTAATAAAAACTGATACTTAAAATAAATGGCTGTTATTTCTACTGTGTTCACATTCTCCATAGAAGTCATAAATGAAGTCATTAAAGCAAGATAGAAAAATCAGTTTCAGAATTTCTTCGTGGAGTGTTTCTGCTTGACATGGGACTTTTAATAATTATCTGGATTTTTTTTTCTTGGGATTCCTTAAAATATATTCTAATCTTCAGTAAATTCTATGGAGTTTTTTAATATATAAAAAGAGTCACATATAATTTAAATTCAAACTTTAGAACAACGTTTACTAACATTTTGCATTCTCTAATTTTCAACCAAGTTGTTTTTTTTCTTTCTATACCTGGCAGTAATATAGCTTCTCCAGTGTAGATGGAAAGGAAACGTAAATCCAAAGTGAGAAATATAGAGTAATAGTACTATGATAACCAGTGGTAATGGAAAAGAACTATTCACAGAGAAAAAAAGGTTATTATTATTTCTGATGTGGTGACTAAAGGAAAATGTCAACAGTGGAGATGTCTCTTTGATAAAGGATGCGTCAAGGAGGCTAGAAATATAAAACCAGAGGCCAAGTGTGGTGGCTCACGCCTGTAATTCTGGCACTTTGGGAAGCCGAGGAGGGCTGATCACTTGAACCCAGGAGATTAAGACCAGCCTGATCAATATGAAACCCTGTTTCTACAAAAAATACAAAAATTAACCCACCCAGCACGGTGATGCACACCTGTGGTCCCAGCCTCTTAGGAGACAGGTGGGAGGATCACTTGAGCCCGGGAGGCAGAGGCTTCAGTGAGCCATGACCATGCCACTGCACTCCAGCCCCAGCAGAAGAGTGAAACTCCATCTGTGAGGGGGAAAAAAAAAAGGGGAAATTAAAACCAGTAAAACTTTTCCTGTGTGGGGCTTTAAACTTGTGTATCAGACAGGGGGAATGTGGTGGCCTCTTTAGGCAAATAGAGCCAAACCCTTGGATAGGTCTTTATTTAACTGTTACAGCCTTTCACTAACTTTGACTATTGACTGCTGCCATATGGAAGGGAAAGTAAATTGAGTAAGTGGAAATGATACATTGGCACTTACTAAAAATAGGATCTTTTTTTTCTAAAAAACTAGAAATAATTATATAAAAATTTATTGTTATGAGTTTACATGCCACATATGTATCACGAAATCCACTGCTGATTGTTCCTCATGGCTGACTACACTGATTCATGAATTGACATATCTTCTGGGTCTCTAGTGTGCAAATCCCAGGAAGGACAAGGAGAAAGCTCATTGTATTCTAGAGAATCGTAGTATACTTGGTAAGGTTGCCTGTATAAGGACATGTGCTTTCTCAATGTCTTTTTTTTTTTTTTTTTTTTTTGGCTCACTTAACAAGTTAGACATTTTATATGTATTAGTTAACCCTCACACAACCACAAAGTGTAATTATCATTCCCATTTTACAGATAGACCAAAGTGACTCAGATATATTAAATAACCTGCCCAAGGGCATGCAACTGGTAACTGGTAAAAAATCCTATTGGAACCCAAGTATCCACCCTCCCCGACCAATACTGTGAGCTTTCATAAACTCTTCAGTAAGAGTCTGCAGTGAGAGAAACCTATGCCTATGGTGGTAAAGCATACTCTTACTGTGGACTGAGGAGCAAGAAATTTACACCATAAGGTGTGAGAGGAAAATTTGACTGATTTCTTAATTGCTATATGTTTTATTTGTATCCCAAGCACATGCCAAATTTTGATCAATTTGATAAATCTCATAATACCTCATACAATGGAAATGCATGCCAACCTTAATTTGACCACCAATATACAAAAAGTCAACTAGATTTCTGAATTTATTAGAAAACAATATGCTGTTTGGATCACTAGATATTGACATCCTTTATTTATTTTTTTTTTCTCCCTGGGATCAAGAAACAATTTGAACAAGTCAAAGCTGTTGACTTGGTATTCTGCTTATCAGCACCTTAAAGTACTTATCCACCTCCTCAGTGCAAGTCAGAAGGAAATTCAATGACTTTTCACATTTAAGGTGATAGTTGATATAACTGAATATCTACCATGTTTGTAACTCTTTTCTGTTTGTTGCATTTGTCCTCTCTTCATCCCCTCCTTTTTCTGTCTTCCTTTAGTTTTGAACAATTTATGATTCTGTTTTATCTCTTAGCATACCAGTTATTCTTTTTACGAATTTTTAAATGGTTGCCCTAGAGTTTATAATATAAACATTTTTCCAAATACAAGCCTGCCTTCAAGTGTAGTGTAGACATTTTATAACAACACATTCCCAAATTTTCTCATTTCTGCCCTTAGAACATTGCTGTCATTCATTTCACTCATCCATATGGTATAATCATTCAATACACTATGGACATTTATTACTTTGAACAAGCAATTACCTTACAGATCAATTAAGAACAATTAAAAATTTTGTTCACCTTCACTTATTTAATCTCTGATGCTCTTCTTATGTAGTTCAATCTTCTAACCGACATAATTTTCATTTTGTCTGAAGAACTTCCCATTTCTTACAGGGCAGGTTGGCTGGCTTTTTTTCTTTCAACACTTTAAATATTTCACTCCACTTTCTTCTGGCTTACCTAGTTTCTCACAAGAAGTCTGCCATAATTTTATTCTTTTCTTCTATAGGTAATATGCTTTTTCCTCTGGCTTCTTTCAAAAATTTCTCTTTATCTTTGCCTTTCTACAGATTTAAGAGGAAATGCGTAGGTGTAGACTTTTTTGGGGAGAAGGGTATTTATTTTTGACTTTTGATGTTCTCTGAGCTTCCTGGGTCTGTGGTTTGGTGTCTGTCATTAATTTTGAAAAGTTGTCAGCCATTATTCTTTCTTCTCTGTTTTCCCTTTCTTTTGTTTTTGATACTCCCATGATGATAAGTTACACATTTTGAAATTGTCTCACAGTTCTTGGATGTTTGCCTCCCACTTTTTTCAGTCTGATAGGTTTCTATTGATGCATCTTCAAGCTCACTGATACTACTCTCCTTGGCCATGTTTGTTCTAATGATGAGCCTATCAAAGGCATTATTCATTTCTGTTATGATGTTGACTATTTCTAGCAGTTTCTTTTGGTTCTTAGCTCCAGATTCTTCCGCTATATTTTTGGCCTTCCCTTTTGACTTGGGCTTTGCTAAATAGTCCTCCTCAGAGAGGGTCTGTGTCTGTGTCTTGTATCTGTTTTAACTGTAATCCACTATTTTTCTTGTTGGAGCTCTATTGGTGTGGTGGTTAGATGTTGGATAGGGGGAGAGTTTAACCACCTGATTGAATCTCAGTTTTTCAAGACTTTTTTTGTTGATACATAATATGGGCTACATGTAATGTATTGCTGCATGCATAGAATGAGTAATGATCAAGTCAGGGTATTCAGGATATCTATCCCTTCAAGTGTTTATTATTTTTGTGTCTTGGGAACATTTTGAGCCCTCTTTTCTAGCTGTTTTGAAATGTACATTATTGTTAACCATAATCACCCTATAAACATTAGAATTTATTCCTTCTATCTAACTGTATCTTTGTACCCATTAACCAAACGGTCTTCACCCCACTTACCCTTCCCTGCCTCTGGTATCCATTTTTCTCTCTATCTTCAAAAGAGCAACTCCTTTAGCTCCCACTAATGAGTGAGAACATGCAATATTTGTATTTTGGTGTCTGACTTATTTAACATAATGATCTCCAGTTCCATCCATTGCAACAAATGACATCATTTCATTCCTTTCTGTGGCCAAATAGTATTCCAGTGTGTATATATACCACATCTTCTTTATACATTTGTCCATTTATGAATACTGAGGCCGACTCTATGTTGTTGCTATTGTGAATAGTGCTCCAATAGACACATAAGTGCAGGTATCTTTTTCATATACTGATTTCTTTTCCTTTGGATAAATACCCAGTAGTGGGATTGTGGATCATATGGTATTTTTGTGTTTTTTTGGTCTTTTTCAGTAATAGTCATTCTAACTGTGGTAAGATGATTAGCAATGTTGAGCATTTTTTCATATACCTGTTGGCCATTGTATGTCTTCTCCTTTGAGAAATCTCAATTCCTGTCGTTTGCCCACCCCCCTTTTTAAATTTTATATACTTTAAGTTCTAGGGTACATGTGCACAATGTGCAGGTTTGTTACATATGTATACATGTGTCATGTTGGTGTGCTGTACCCATTAACTCGTCATTTACATTAGGTCTATCTCCTAATGCTATCCCTTCTCCCTGCCGCCTCCCCACAATAGGCCCTGGTGTGTGATGTTCCCCTTCCTGTGTCCAAGTGATCTCATTTATTATTATTTTTTTTTTAACTGTTCAGTTGTCTGCATTCCCTGTATATTCTGAATGTTAGTCTCTTGTTGGATGAATAGTTCGCAAATATTTTTCTCCCATTTAGCAGGTGGAGTCTTCACTCTGCTGATTGTTTCCTTTGCTATGCAGAGGCTTTTAGTTTGATATAGTCCCATTTGTCTGTTTTTGTTATCTGAGCTTTTGAGGTCTTAGCTATAAAATTTTATGTTTAAGTCTTTAATCCATCTTGAGTTTGTTTTTGTATACAGTGAAAGATACAGGTCCAGTTCCATCCTTCTACATATGGATATCCAATTTTCCCAGCACCATTTACTGAAGAAGGTGTCCCTTCCCCACTGTATGTTTTTCTCACATTTGTAGAAAATTAGCTGTCTCTAAATATGTGGATTTATTTCTAGATTCTCTATTTCATTACATTGGTCTATGTGTCTCTTATTATATCCATATCATGTTGTTTTGGTTACTATATCCTTGTAATGTATACTGAAATCAGATAATATAATGCCTTCAATTTTGTTCTTTTTGCTCAGAATTGCTTTGGCTATTCGGGCTCTATTTTGGTTTCATATGAATTTTAGAATTGTTTTTTCTATTACTGTGAAAAATGACATTGGTATTTTGATAGGGATTACATTGAATCTGCAAATTGCTTTGAGTTAATATCATTTTAATGGTATTAATTCTTCTGATCCATGAG